CTCAAAGATAAGAATGTTTTTTAGGGACATAAGGATCGGCAATTTACTACATATGATACCCGTGGAGGATGCTCAATACAAGGGACACTGGTATGAAGCGCTATAAAATGGTTGGTTGAGAGAGGGTTTTGAAGAGGAACTAGATCCATTTTTGCCCTGCTTTGCACAACAACAAGAGAACGATCAATTACACATTTGAACATTCAAATTTACTAGATGAAACTAGACGACGAAATTCTGCCTCCCCAGCACATGAGCTAAATTTCTCATCAACCAATTACAACTATATTGATATATCTACAAGTTTTTTAATATGGAAAATGGTTGAAAAACATTGCCTATTTCGGATAAGATTTCACTACTAGCCTCTACAACTCCGACAGACAAATCTGCTGGCAAGTGAAAGCTGTTCCGATTGAAAATGATGCGCACTTTCATGGTTCTTAGACCAGCGATCAACTTGTGGAGCCAAGATGCATCTGAGTTTAAGTGTGATGGGAACAAACAAAATTTCCCAACCCCTTATTTTCAGCAAATGACGTATAATGAATCGATATAAAACATGTTGGTAAATAACAGAATAACTTACGTACGCAAATACATCAGATATGATGTTAGCCTGACCAAATTTTGTTCCATTCACAACAAGTTGCTTAGTGCCAACGCCGCCAAAACGGACTGTGTCATTTCCATAAAAGCCTTTCGCACTTCCAATCAAATACTGAAGATTGTTATATAACTCACTATAAAATGAACTTTTTAAAAAAAACTAAATTACCTCTGTACTCCACCTACCAGACTCGTTAACGTATGTTGAAGAGCCACTTGATTTGAAATATCGTTTTCCTCTGCACGGATTTCTTTTTCCTATCAATGGCTTTTTCACACAACATACAGAATTGGGACAGAATACTTCACATATCACTGCAATTCGAACTGATGATTTACTAGCAAAGCAAATGAACTATGCTCAATTTGGTGGCTGAGATATCGGGTTATTAGAGAAATTTTCTTCATCTTTTTTTCCCAAAATCAAAACAAAGTTTTGAAAGCAGGATTCAGGCGGCATATGGTACGCATAAAAAAGAGTTATTCCTCTACAAGAAATTATTGTGGACTGGTTAAAGATTTTAGGCTAATAGAAGTGATTGTAAACGAATGAGAAGAATAAAAGGCAAAAAGCTTAATATTTTTAGAGCGAAAAGCTCCTTGCATGACGGTACCCATGCAGTTGAGATGCAGCTGACTATGAAAATCATATCCATTTTTTTACATCAAAGCCTCACTATAGGATTACGCTTAATATACGCTGAAGGGTCAGTGATTACAAAAATTATATCCATTCCTCATGACAAAACCACTGTGCAGAGTGAAACACAAAAGTTTCCAATTTTACTTTCAAAGCAAATCAATGATTTTGATCTTCCCATCGTATACTTACAATGGCAATACAGTCTTGTGCAGTATGGACACGATTTTCGTCACCATACCAAATGCACACCATTTTTTGGCGAGTCAGTAATTTTGAGTCATCCATCGCATACGCAACGTAAAAGATAACACTGTGAAGATATTACTCTAATCAACATCATTTCGAGCTTCTCACAAAAAATGTTGCTGTCGATTATATCTTTTCTTGTTCTCTTGAGTTTTTTATTTCAATTCTAATTGAGCGCGAAATCATTAATCAAAGTGGATAACCTATCTTGTTGAGGAAGAGTTCTTATTATAAATGATGAGTGTTGCCAAAACTTCTGGTTTATCTGAGTTTGAAAAAAGGGCAGGAAAATAACCGGCAACCCATAGTTGGAAAGCTTAACTGAAGTTGCTCACATCCTAAATCACAAATCGATTCGTCGCAAATTTCTGGCGTATCTGGTGCACAGGTGAAATCAGGCACCCAAAATTCTGCAGATCCGGTATCTAATAAAACCTGAAAAACTAGCTCATCTCGCCACCGAAGCTGTAACATGCATGACCTATTACCAAACACATTAGGTAAAGAAGACTTACTTGAAACTCTTGCTCAGGTGTTCCTATCGTAATGTTACCGATGTATTCGCTGTCATGGTATAAGTCTATCTTAAAAAAGACTGTTAGCCTCGAACAGCTGAGATACTCGAGAACCTAGATCAGGGCTCGGCAGGACGTCTCCCGGTTGAATCTTATGACAACGAATACCAGCTTGAAAATCCAGAAAATTACGAAGTCCCCTTTACCTGTACAAACGCGTGCAATTATATTAGCATGGCAGTGCCGTATACTTGTTGCGCGTTTTCTTCATTTAGAAAAAACAATTTGGGGCCATAGCAAGGAAGGGATAAAGTGCTGTGATCTGGTCATTGCCTCATAAGTTGGGTCAAGGAGTGTACAGAAAGCGTTTGCTATAAGGAACGTAAAATTATGAGAAACAAAAGAGTGTTTGAAGCGGAGACCTAAGGTCTCCCGCAGGTCTCCGTCGGAGATCTGGATCACAAAAAGGTACGGCGATTTTTTCATCCTCATGAAATTTCAAAGAATTTTCAAACACTGCTTCTACTCCTTGCGCATCTTCACGCCAATTTTGGTGGCCATTCATTGGCCGTTCGCTTAGAGAAACGGGTTTACCAAAATTCGAAACTTTAAAATTTCCCGCGCAAATGCCCGCCTCAAACGAATATTGGACCTTTGCTGGAACAGGTTCTTAAACGGTCTAAGAGGGGGGAGAGGAAAGCTTCAACATTCTGGTTGTGGAAGCGGTAATAATTGAGATTGAACTGCAGACTCCTCTCCGGACCCCATACGATTTCCCCTTTGCCTTTTTCACAAAAACGAATTCCAGCTTGCCCTCCGGAGACCTGCCGCCGAGGTCTGACCTGGATATATGCGACATTTGATTATGAAGATCTCGTATTTGGAACTTTTGCAATGTTGCATCTTATCTTTTGTCCATGGATTTTAAAGTTTATTTTTGTTATGTGGCTGATTCGAGATTATTTGTTATAATAGTAGCTGTCTACGTAACCTCTACGTAACATCTATAACATTTACTGGACTTCCCTACTCAGAAATAAGATTCACGTTTAGACTTTTTTTACTTTTAGGGGTATATTTTCTAATATTGTTGACATAGCGATGCAGTCTGCTATCGCCTGACATAATTATATCATGACTGCCGCAAGTCGTTTTTGCGAAGTTAATGTCAGAACCTATCAATTGGGTTTAAATATATTTTCCAATAACCATACATGGACTAGTGGCTGCCCTTGCAAGCAAAAGTTTAACTTATCGCAGTGGAAATAAATCTTAAAAAGCCGTCACAAGAAAGTTACTCGTTGCTCCCTTTTGCTTCTTCATCTCTGCAAAAATGAGTAGGTCACTACGCAACAGTTAAGAATATTGATTTAAAGGAAAGTCAGTTAAATTGATCAAAGTTGTTAGGCCTTTCTAGCTTCTCGCATAATGATAAAATCAGTTGCCATTTAGCCAGCGATGAGATCCATAAATATCTCCCTTCCTGCTAGAGTCATTCTTTTCCATTTACAACTGTCAAGGAATATAACAAAATCAAAGAAGGAAAACTGGTGTTTTTTGCA